TATGTATTTCAACTGTTCTGAAAACATCTGAATAGGGTCTAGAATGTTTTGAAAAGTTTCAGGTTTCAGTGTTTCAACCCAACGGGTATGAAATAAGGGCCAATTTGCTCTATCAAAATTCCACCTTGTTGAAGGTGGCTCATCAGTCGGGAGAATAGTTTTTAGTAGTGTGGGAAAATGGTCACTTCCACACAGGTCATCATGAACTGACCAGTCAAATTCGTTTAGTAAATTGGCATCCGTAAGTGACAGATCCAATGCTGAATAAGTTCCTGTATGTACATGTTTGGACCATCATTAAATATACATAAATTATTGTTTGTTACAAAATCTTCAAGGACTGTGCCCTTGGCGTTGGTATCAACACTTCCCCATAAAGGGTTATGTCCATTTAGGTCACCCATGATGACACAGGGTTGAGGGAGTTGGTCAAATAAAGACTGAAGATCAGCCGGAAGAGGAGAAGATGGTGGAATATACAAAGAGCAAAGTGTGAAGGCGATGTGAACTGTTAGCCGGACTGCAGCGGCTTGAAGATTGATGGTAAGAGGAATTTCTCTATGGATTACGTCCTGTCTCACAAAGATTGAAGAACCTCCAGCGGCTTTTGCTCCTGGAGCTGAGAAGAGATTATACATGTTATATTTCCTGACATCACATTTATCTGTGTTCTTAAGATATGTTTCTTGTAAACACATAGCTGATGGTTTAAAATCTTGAATTAAAAGCTGTAAATCATTAAAATTATTCCTAAATCCTCTACAATTCCATTGAATTATGGTGGACGATTGAGTCATGGTGAGGAGGAAGGCCTCCTACTACTGCTCTGTGACGATGGCGTTTCATCCATGTCCAGAGCATTAAAGGAGTTATGGAGAACTATCTCTGAAGATGAGGAGTTCCTGGTTGTCTGTTTTCTATTTAGTTTTTTTCTTTCTTTTCTGGTCAAAGGTTGAATGTCTGGTTCTACAGCATCAGATTCTTTAGTGACAAGCACTTCAGCAGCAGACACTGTATTGTCTGTTTCAGAGAGATTCACAGTTTGGATGGAAGATGTTTTAGAAGTTATGCTGACAGGTTGATCTGACTTTTTACCCAGGACAACTCTGTCTAGAGATTGATGAGGTTTGTGTAACAGGACGAGCAACAGCTCAGGATATATTTTATTTATTGACTTTGGAGGAGATTTGTTCTCAACAAGTTTCTTTGCCTCATGAAATGAAATGTTATTTTCATGTTTGACCTTCAGAATTTGTGATTGGGTTTGCCACACAGGACATAACCTTGAAAAAGCCAGATGTTGTCCTTTACAATTTGCACATTTTATCTCTGCATCACAATCGGTGTTCTCATGTCCACCGCCGCAACGTTGACATATCACAGAGTGGTTACAATATTTTGAGCCGTGACCAAACTTTAGGCACTTGAAACATCGTTATGGATTGGGGACATACACCTTCACTCCGATGTTGAGATAACCAACTTTATAGACTTAGGAATTGTTGAAAGTGCAAAGGTAAACAGATATGTGTTGGACGGGATGATGTCACCGTCTCTAGATTTCATAGTGAAACGCTTCACTGCTGTCACTCCTTGTGTTTTTAATTCTTGTGTAATGTCTTGCTCCGACATGTCAGACAGGCAACGAGCTCTGTCTCGAACAATGCCTCGGCAAGAATTCAAGGTTTTGTGTACGGACACAGCAACCTCAATATTTGCAAATGTAGTTAAAGATAGCAGATTGAGAGATTTCTGTCTCTGTGTACACTCAACAAGAAGAGAGCCACAGCGAAGACCGTCACATTCTTAACTTGTCCACAAATTCCAGATACAACTTTGGAAATGGCAAAAGGGATTAAGTTTAATTGGTTGTTTGTCAGCTGCTTCTATGACAACAAATCGGGCCCATGAATCTAAAACAGGAGATGAATTATCGGTTTCATCTTGATCGATATGTCGTCGTTTTGAACGGTTTGAACCAGGGTATCGGTGAGAGATGATGAAAGAAAAGTATTCAACACCCTTCCTCCCCACCTACCATAGGGTGCCAAAAAGAGCGATGTTTTATTGCACCGGATCGCCAACATGCAAACATCAGGGATACAGAGGTGGTATACTCCAGTCTAAACAACATGAATAGCTGAACTTGTCTACCAAATATGCCAGGCTGGTTCGGCCCATGACAGTAAACTGGAGACAGACAGAACTAAGAGGTTGATAGTACCAGATTGGCCCATGAGCCACCGCCTTCTGGCATGGGACTCTAGGCAAGTTGATATCATACATTAATAACATATATACATACCCAACATTCACATAAATTGCAATATTTCAATATGTACATGTTTCATACACAGGGCATGGCGTGACCAGCCGATTGATAGAATCGGGCCCATTCTACCACCCGTCTAGGTGAAGTAAGGGTCGAATTGGTGTGTCGGGCAAAGGAACACTGTTCCTGGCTCCAGTCTCCGCAACCAGACTGCATTCCTCCAGCGACACAAAGGCGCAATCCACGGCAAAATGGTTGCCCAATTGAGTCGCCTCATACGACCAGCAATCGGGTGCTGACGACACATTCTGCCCCGGGTCCACACGGGGGAAGAGCTATTAGCGTTATTCAGCACTCACCACGGGGAGGTTGCTCTTCACGAGTGCCTCAATAACATGAACATGTGTTTGTTGTCAGCTGTCGATGAGGTGAAACCCTCGGGTAAATATATGCATCAGTTGTTTCATATGCGACTCCACAGTCGCGAGTGTGCAAATGTACGTTGCAGGATATGCAGGGCACTTCTTATTTTCCAGTTAGACCAATTTGTTTCTTATACACATGTAAAAAAATTCGAGTCTGGACCAGACAATCCAGTGATCGACATCTTAAATATCGAATGTTATCAAAAATGAAAAGTACCATCACTGTCTGTCCCCGGGCCTGACCATCAGATCGTGCTGACAAGCATGAGTTGCTGAAGATAAATCCTAACCTGGATCTTCAGGTAACCTGCCATCTTCTTCATTGGGCTGGACTTGCCGCCAGTCCTGTTGCTCAGTATGAGTTTATCCAGGCCAACTCATTTGTAAATCTGAAATAAATGAAATTGTTCATCAAAAACGGAGATAAAATATTTATGTTAACGAAGGTTAACCCCAATCTAGAATTGTTTTACATAACATTTAAATGTATGTGTGCTTCTTATATAATAGGTTTCAGAATACATAACTCTTTGCACTCAACATAGTTAAGCTTAGGTTTCATCAAAGTTACATCATTTTGATTGGTTTGTTGTTTTACGCCGCACTCAGCAATGTTACAGCAATATGACGGCGGTCTGTAAATAATTCAATCTAGACCAGACAATCCAGTGATTGATACCATGAGCATCGATCCACGCAATTGGGATTGATGACATGCATCAACAAAGTCAGCGAGCCTGACCACCCGATCCCGTTAGTCGCCTTTTACGACAAGCATAGTCGCCTTTTACGGCAAGCATGGGTTGCTGAAGACCTATTCTACCCTGAATCTTCAAAGTTAGATCACTTTCATTTTTGCCCAAAGCACGAGACCTCTTGATTTTCCAACTATGCTTGATAAAATATATGTTAACGAAGGGTAACCCCAATCTAGAATTGTTTTACATAACAATTAAATGAATGTGTGCTTCTTATATAATAAGTTTCAGAATACATAATTCTTTGCACTCAACATAGTTAAGCTTAGGTTTCATCAAAGTTACATCATTTTAATTGGTTTGTTGTTTTACGCCGCACTCAGCAATATTACAGCTATATGACGGCGGTCTGTAAATAATTGAATCTAGAACAGACAATCCAGTGATTGATACCATGAGCATCGATCCACGCAATTGGGATTGATGACATGCATCAACCAAGTCAGCGAGCCTGATCACCCGATCCCGTTAGTCGTCTCTTACGACAAGCATAGTCGCCTTTTACGGCAAGAAAGGGTTGCCCTCATATAGCTGGAATATTGCTGAGTACGGCATTAAACAACAAACAGAAAACATTGTAGTAACATTAGCAACCTATTCTCGCCTAAAGCGGCGATTGAGCATGTTTTTTTATTATTAAAACATTAATAAATGATAATATTGTCAAAATTAGTTCGGTATTTGTAAAATCAGCGTTCAGCATGCATGATTAATGGGTGTTTTGAAAGAGCAAAACGTCCATAACATGTTATCAACGACAAGCAAAAATCATAATTGATATTTTCAGTTGACTGCTAATAATGAACGTGGGTTATTGGACACCATGTCTATTTGTGATCAACATGCAAAGTAGTTGAGTTGCATTCATTTGATATATTGCATAACATCATGGTAAAACTACAAAATGTCATCATTTTACAAGCATTTGAAACCCGTGAGGATCCGGGGTAGAATAGGTCTTCAGCAATCCATGCTTGCCGTAAAAGGCGACCATGCTGGTCGTAAGAGGCGACTTACGGGATCGGGTGGTCATGTCGCTGTATGCAAATTACGTGGATTGATGCTCATGATGTCAATCACAGGATTGTGTGGTCCAGACTCGATTATTTACAGACAGCCGTCATGTAGTTGGAATATTGCTAAGTGCGGCGTTAAACAACAAACAAACAAAAAGCTGAGAATAGTCGAGGAATACTAGTACTCGATAACCACCGACAATCTCAAATGTTTATCACCCAGATTACTAGTTTGCAGCTCATTGGGTAGGTAACAGGCGAAAAGTTGTAACAGATGTGCAACTTTCATTCGTCACAGTAAATTTATTCGTGGTAGTAAATTGCTGCGGACATTTTGACTCTCGCATGTATGGAATAATTATTGGCTGACAAGTGTAAATAGAATAGTTTTGATTATCATCATCAATGCGTGCTTCATCAATATTTATAATAATTTTCCTTTTATACTAAAATATATTTACAATAATAAGCTTTAATCGTTTTGGTCACGTGTTCTACTCCACATAAGCTGTGTATTAAAGGACTAGCCGTTTTCATTCCTTGATTCTACCACGGGACGACCCATGTGATCCTCTGTACACCAGCTTTCTGCACCACCACTGAAGGTAGGCTATTTACTATAAAATCTGACACATGAAGATCCGGGCTAGAATACGTCTTCAGTAACCTATACTTGCAAGAGGCGACTTACGGGATCGGGTGGTCAGGCTTGCCGACCTGGTTGAAGCATGTCATCGTATCCCAATGTCATGGATCGATGCTCATGATGTCGATCACTTTGTCTGGTCCAGACAGACATCATGAGCGATCTACACAAATGGGATGTGATAACAGTCATCTACATAGTCACCGAATTTGAACACCGATCCCGTTAGTCACCTCATACGACCAAAATGGGTTCCTGACGATCTTCATGGGTTTCGAACGTCTGGCCATGGTGTCATCACTTTTTTATAGCGATCGCTTTATGGCTGAAATAATGCCGATTCTACGTGAAATGTAACTCACTCACTTTGATAGTGATTCAGAAACATATCATCTTCCCGAGGCTTGACAGTTAACTGACTATAAAAGTCCAGTTTCCACCCTTGCCGAACTAGGCTGGTATTTGGAGTTACATTTTGGCTGGACTAACGAGTCTATGCATAGTCCAATCAAAATCGCGCACCGAAATCGAAATCCGGTTCGTAAACTGTCGTGCAGATTTCGGTCGATTGCAGGATTTGCAAAGCATGTGCACCAACAACTCGTTGTCAGCAGATATTTTCCAAATCTTATTATGTTTTTAATCAAGGTGCTCACGTGATTTGATGCATTTCGCGATGTAAGACCCCTTTGATCACAATATATATCTTGATTATCGATCAGATCGTCCTGTCTCGCCGCCACCATTTTGTATGAAGCAAAGGCAATTGATACGAGAGTTGGAATCTAATTGGTCCATAGGAGACGCTTAGAAGGGACATAACTGGTAAAAGCCACTGGTGGCGCTACGATCGAGCCCAGTTATTCCAGCCTAGTTCGGCAAGGGTGGAAACTGGACTTTTAAAGTCAGTTAATTCTCTCGCCTCGGGAAGATGGAAACATATGCTTGATAAAAAGTTATAGTCGGAATAATACACTGGCTGCTTTTTATCTGCACAATTATTTGAAAAACATACATGTTGTTATGTTTCAATGTGGTGTATTTCAGAGGACTCGTGTAAATTAATATCACTGCAACTAGCAGAAAACGTGGGACACGTCGACTGTGATCTGCTCCATCTGACCTTTCATCGCTGACCACAACACATTGTGAACGACCAGCAAGGTATTGTGTGAACGAATTTCCGTCAATTCCCAAGAGTTGCGGTCGAAGGTTGCACCTACCCAGCTAGAAGCTAATCTACCAGAGACCCTCCTCAGATTGTTTAGTTTCCCAACAGTTTCAGTATAAATGACACCGGAAAGCTTATTCAGTTATGATTTCTATCAATAAAATCTTAACCACATATCCTTGAACAATAAGGAAGTATCCAGAGACAGTACGTACTTTCACTGACAATTGTTATCACTGGACGTAATAAGACACTGTGGAAGGTACTGGATCCAGTAAGCTGGCAGTTTGCTTTGCTTTGTACTAGATTGTCCCCAGAATCGACTGTAACCTTGCCTCTTTGTGAATCAGTCCTGTTCTAATGTCTTTAATCCTAAATACTTGAAAGTCTTTATTCTTTGAACTCCTTAATCTTATAGGATAACATTTTGATCGTTTGTATAAAAAAACGTTTTGGCACATTGTATTAATAATCAATATGGGTTCAATGTGAGAAGCGCATTTCTGGCGTCCCCCGCCGTGATATTGCTGGAGTATTGCTAAAAGCGGCGTAAAACCATATTTACTAATAATCAATAAGACCAAAGGGGAAGTACACTCGACATAGCATGTCCATGTCCATGTCATTGAAAGAATATTTATATCTACGATCGTTTAATACGTAGAATATTTGTTATTTTATTTTTGGGCTAAAATTGTTAATTATTGCAAGCAACTGAAGGGGTGGTGTAAATTCTGCTTGAGTACCATACAGGTAGACTGTAAGTCCCCATGGCCCCTCGTATGGTGATCCACCTTTGGTTGCTGTCGAACCGTCCGTTTTTATAATTTAAATTGGTTAAAAAGGTCAGGGGTCATAAACTCTTTTGTAAAACCTGCATATAGCAACCAGGTGATCTTTGTAGAGAGAGAATCCAAACATGATCAGCCATTTACACATCCAGACAAGGTAAAAATCAATTAAATACGCGAAGTTTCACGAATGTTCGATAAGTATTATTCCTAAAAGTAAAAAAAATATTATATTTCACTTCAACCTCACTGTAATCTTTTTTACATTTACATTAAAAGTTGTAACAAGGGTTAACCTGCAACCACTTCATGTAAACTGCCAGAAGATTGCGCTGCAGTTAAGAGAAAACAGAGCCGTGGAGGACGCCCTTGTTTATCAAAATGGAAGAGTCTTCAGTGTCGTAGATCGAAACGCATGATATTAATCACTGGATTGTCTGGTCCAGACTCGATATTTTTACAGACTGCTATCACATTGCTTGAATATTGTTGGGTGCGGCATTAGACAACAAACAAAGAAACAAAACTGTGAGAATCAGTTAACAGTATTTGTTACAGGTTTTGATGTACTGGAAACTGGTTTTCAATTTCTTGAGATAGTAGGTGAAAGAAATATCGCGTTTATATTACAATTAAGGATCTTCGATGATCTTGACACAATGGTTAGAAAGGTATATTTATGCTTCACGAAATTGTATGCCAGAGCTATGTGTTCCTTGATACAATTCTACCACCCTGTTTCTTGACAGTGAAACGCTTCACAGAAGTTACATTTTGTTCTATAAGTTCAGCAACTGTCGTCTGCTCAGACTGTCAGCCGGGTAGCGAACAGTCATATTGATACTTGAAACTCCACGTGGGGCAAACCGCCTCGGAGAGATGAAACATACTTAATTTCTCCACAGACAACTGTCTTTGATATTATAAATGGTTTGAGTTAGTGTGGCTCTTTGTTTGTAGATTCATTTACTTTAAAACTTCGCCATGTTTATCTCAGCTTTGAAACATCATCACATGAATGATTGTAGCCTCTAAACTCCTTTGCTGTCGAATAGAACCAGAATTTGTATGAGACATGACGTAGGTAATAGGATCCAGCATCCCCGCTCGCCAATCAACGGGAAGCAGGTTTCTCAATTTAGTCGCATATTAGAACTAGCATTGGCATACATGGGACACTTTCGAGTCCCCACGGGGAGATGCTTTTCTTAGCTACAATATATAATCACTGCACGTTTCGTCATATCGAAGCCGTGGCTAGATCTATAATCACCGATTTCTTTTTAACTAATTCCGATTCAAATAACAGTCTGGTTTGTACTTGACATAAATCCTGCTGGGAATCATGCAGGAAGCAAAGGCACTGTTAGTCCCGTGATCCCCAAGTTGGGTGGTCTAGCTTTGGTTGCCAGTGGTATGTAGCCCAGTTTTATCTTGTACCAAATCTACTGAAGAATTCTTTGTTTTTATAGTGAACTGGTTTGTTTTATACCTTAGCTGTGATACATGACTTACTGTTTTACTGTCCTTTGTCGACGGGTATTTAATAATAATTAATTTGTTTTCATCGCAATATGGCTGCAATATTGCTGATGCGTTGTAAAATTTTAACTCACTCACTCACTCTGGTGTGTACTGGAATAATTAAAGAACTGAGTGTGAGCGAACTTGTTTTTCAGTCAAATCATTCAGTTAACCTTTAAATGGAACAAGATTGTCGAGGCAAATTGAAAACACAATCTGATTGGCTGAAACGATTTGTTACTTGATCATAATTAAAATTTAAGGAAGTCCCAACAGAGTTGTCACTGTATCGCGCATTTGTTTCACAATGATGTCTGATTAGGTTTGTTACTAGTATTTCACTTACATAGGGTACTGGTCAGGACTGACGCCGGTTTTATAGTGCTGGTCATCTGAGACTCCATGCTGCAGCTTAACATGGATATCCTCACATATTCAGACACAGTATACCGACTCCGAGCTGACTGATATTTGTTTTACCCCTTATTGCCAGGAAGAGTAATACAAGTACCATGTCTTAACGTCTTTTGGTAAGACGCGGTAAAGCATAAGTTACTTTGTCGAGCCCATGGACGTGCGTTCAAAACCCAGGATTCAAATATAACGTAACAAATGGCGATGTATCGCAGATAAATTCTTTAGAGTTAATCGAACAGTGTAAATGATTGTCAATTGTTTATTGCAGTGAATGGTTTATTGCAGGACCATGTCTCAGATGTCGGTACCCTACGACTATTTACGACTGACTGTCTGTGATGTATCCGGAAAGTCCAGAGGAAGAATTCTTCATCGCCGCCATGCCGAACACGTCTGTAGAACTGGGGTCACTGTAGGAGTAGGTATGTGTTATGATCTTAGAAGCCTACCTGTCTTGTGATTCCGGGTAAGAATGTAGGTCCCTGGCAACCTTTGCTGGTTTTAAGAGATGATTAACTGGAATGGGAGGTTAAGCTCGTTGGTCTGGTCAGTCGTATTCCAGTTGTGTGGATCGATGCTCTTGATATTAATCACATGAATGCCCGGTCAAGACCCAATAAAATTACAACAACCATCATAAAGATAGAATATTGCTGGTTGTGGCTTTGAACAACAAATGAACAAAAAAAATGTTCTTGCCATGGTTTTTAAAACGGTTTATAGGATTGGGTTTTTTCCTCAACTGAATTGAAATATTTTCAGGCGTTCCTGCGTCACTGCAAAAGGATTTTGGCTTTGTAATCATTCCCGATCTCAGCACAATAAAGGCTATTTCCTGGGATGGGGGGGAACAGTTCAAGGTCGCTGAGGTCATATGTGACGCGTATTGGTTAAAAGACAAGACTCCTGTTAACTGTTTTCCAAGATATGCTGCTAAACAACAACTCCAACGATTGGCCAACAATGGGTATACGATTTTGTCAGGATTCGAGATGGAATACATGTTGTATTACAAAGACCTACCTGCGTCTGGAAGATGCCGAATGCATCACTTGGACCACACAAAACACAGTGCATTTCTTTACGCCTTAGACAATGGCATGCATAATGCAGGTGTTGACGTTGAAAACTTTCATACAGAGTGGGATGCTGGACTCTTCGAGGGAGTTTTAAAGGCATCCAAAGGCATCACAGCTGCTGACTGGGCTTTTACCTTTCGAAGTGGAACTCTTGAAGTAGCAACTAAGCACACAGATTATGAAGTCAGTTTTTTGTCCAGACAAGAAACAGGTGAAGTCGGAATGCATTACAATCATTCGGTGTTATCGATTGAAAGCGGTGAAAATATTTTCAGTGATTCCAGCAAACCCGATGGTATATCTGATTTTGGAAGATGTTGGCTTGGTGGACTGCTAAAACACTCTAGAGCTCTCTCAGCTTTCTGGTGTCCTACAGTAAATTGTTATGATCGATTGCACCGCCCAAGGAGACCAAGAACAATAAACTGGGCTTTGGAAAATCGTCTTTCGTCTTTTCGAGTTAAAGCAGATACTGATAAACAAGGCGTCTACTTTGAGAACCGCATTCCAAGTGGGAGCAGCAATCCGTATCTGACTCTTGCAGCGACTATAGCTGCAGGTTTAGACGGAGTACTCAATAACCTGGATTGTCCTGCTCAATGTCCAGACACAGAGGAGCCAGCTGCTAACTCCAAATCAGCCAATACTCTACCAACCACTCTACCCGAGGCACTATCTGCCCTCCAGGCAGATTCTGACCTGGTCAATATTCTCGGAAAGGAGCTGGTGGAATGGTTTCTCGTAGTTGCTAATCGAGACATTGAACGATGCAACTGATAAATGTCTTCTAGCAATTGCATTCCAAACCACTTATTCTCTATTGTCGACTAGACATACTAGATAACTGTCTTAGTGACTGTCTTTACTAGTCTTCTTGGTACATTCGAAAATGTCCACAGTTACTCTGTCACAAGACGCATCCTACTTGTGTGGGGACCTACTTTTGTATATGTCATCATCGAACACCCCGAGTGTCTGGTGCCAATTACACTGATCATATCACTTTCAATATCAAACTGTGTTAATAAAGACTCTAGATATGTAAACCTGTTGTTTTTATGCTGTAACGGTTCCTATATCTAGACTACGTAAAAACCTCCTTGCATAATCTAACGACAAAAGCATCCTTTTTTTTATTATTGCGGTATTAATGTCATCAGTTTGAATATACGACAGGATGAATTAAATCAAAGTCAGTCATATTAATTCACACATCAAGTATCACAAAATATAGGAGTCCAAAAAGAAGTTTTGGAAATATTGGACTAAATACGGTTTGTAATGCCAGCCTACTGAGATTCTGATGTGTAACATGGATACCCATTCAGACACATTGTTCGTAAAGTTTACGAATAACCAAGAGTTACAATAAGCTGGTGCTAAACATAGCGGAGTTATGCCCTCTTTTCTTTGTACGTGTGTAACCTCTCTGTCGTCTTTTGACGTCTTAGAAAAATCAGTTTTCGTCATTTTCGGCAGGCTATTTTTCGTATTGCATAACGTTATACATGAGCATATAAATCCATCTGATAAACATTTATGTCGTTCGGGTATTAGGCAATATTTTGTTTGCTCACAGTTTACGTAAAGATGCTAAACGAAAAAATCGTCTCACAGTAATTTTATCAGTGGACGATAAAAAACGGAGACATTTGCAGTTAGGTAAAGGTAGGTGAGGTAAATCCAGTGCCGCGTGAGCGCAATTCTCCCACAACCTGCACTTAATTCACTATTATTAATAGTGTGTGTGTTTGTTTTGTCGAGAAAAAATTAGGAATGATTTTGATTTGTTGTTTAACGCAGCACTCAGCAATATTCCAGCCATGTGACAGCGGTTTGTAAATAATCGAATCTGGACCAGGCAATCCAGTGATTGATATCACGAGCATCGATCCACGCAAATGGGATGCGATGACATGCATCAACCAAGTCAGCGAGCCTGACCACACGAACCCGTTAGTCGCCTCTTACGGCAAGCATGGGTTGCTAAAGACCAAGTCTATCCCGGATATTTACGGGTCCTTATCAATTGGGATACGATGACATGCATTGACCAAGTCAGCGAGCCTGAAATTAGACAAGTATTAGATGATGTTGATACCCCTGTATTTAGCAACTCACTTTAGGATAGCCTTGAACAACCTATTGAAATGTTTGAACTTGCAGAAGTTGTTAATTCATTGAAGAATAACAACAGCCCTGGCCTGGATGGGTTTCCAGTTCAATTTTTTTAATTCCTTTGGAATGACTTAGGTGTATGGGTATTTAGGTATACAAATGAAACTTTCAGAAATAATCAAATTACCTTAACTATGAATAGAGGAATGATTACATGTATTCCGAAACAAAACAAAGACAGAAGGCTTCTAAAAAACTGGCGACCGGTTTCTCTTCTAAATACTTTATATTAAATTTTAAGCTCGTGTGTAGCAAACACAATTAGAAAACATAAGATACGTTAATTCATAGTGACCAAACTGGCTTTATACCTGGTCAATGTATCAGTGAAACCATGTACGATATTATGTATGAGCTGAAAGAGAAAAATAGGGCAGGACTTTTATTACTTATTTCACAAAACATTATTGAATTGGTTATGAAAAAAAATGGTTTTGGACCAAATATAATTAAATGGGTAAATATCTTAACTAAGAATGCATACCTTGTGTAATACAAAATGGACATCTCTCCATTTTTTTTGCAGGCCAGATGATGCAGGCACAGTTACCCACTTTTACCCTACCAATTTTTGCTTGTAGCTGAGATACTAGGAATAGTGATTGAGAATAATAAAGCATAAAAGGAATAACGATAAATGATATGGAGTATAAATTAGGTCAATATGCAGATGATACACAGTTATTTTTAGATGGATCTGAAGAGTTTCTTTGAGATGCAATTGATACTTTGAATATATTTTATAGAATATCTGGCCTGAAGGTAAGTATTGACAAATCTAAAGCTATAGGGATAGGTTCAATGACAGGAAACAGCATCAAACTCTGTGAGGACACAATACTAGACTGGCATGAGGGAAACTTTGAAGTCTTGGGAATAATACTTTATCCCACATTACATGATCTATGGGTAATGAATATAGTAAAAAGAGCAGATTTTGTACAACAGCTAATTTATACATAAATAACATTTTGAGAGACCTGATTTTAAGAACAAAGGGTTCCAGAATATTTTATGATAAACCCACAGCTACAACTAACTTTCCTCTGATGTGTGATAAATGGGAAAATGAACTTAATCAAAACATTTAATGGAATAATGTTTTCACTAATTGTAAAATGTGTACCAATGATATTAAACTAACATATTTCCAGTACAGATTCATAAATAGAGCTCTATAGACCAAAATGGAATGATTGAAAATAAAGTTAATGGATGATGATAAATGCTCTTTTTGTATCTCTAGGCCTGAAAACTTATACCATGTATATGGAGAATGCGTTTTTGTAAAGGAACTTTGGTTAGAATCGAAGGGTACCTAAACTTGCATATGATATTCATATCACCATTCTAGATAAATTATTTTGCTACAACAAAGACAGCTATCTTTTCAACCATATAATTCTTCTTGCAAAAAATTACATTTACCTGTCAAGCATAAGAAAACTCTATTATGCTTTCCTTTCTTTATAAAAATATTGAAAGATGTATGTAAAATAGAAATAATTATCGCAATGAAAAATAGTAGTATTAATAAATTCGACAGAAAATGGAAGGAATTATCAGTCTACTGCTAATTTATATTCTGTAACATAGCCAACATTCACCGACTCCAATTGTGGGCTGAGGAAACTCAATTATATGTATCCATATTCATGAGAAAACAGCAATACTTGTGCTTGATTGGCGCTTGCTTAGGTCTTCAAAGGTCATTTAGGTCAGGCTCTGATTTGCATTTGTATTTCTATCGTCCTCGGGTATCGCGTTTATTAATCTCCATTCCAGTATGATAAATACCCTGGACCAACATACATTTTTTTGGAGTCTTGTGTCATCAATCAAATTACATTGTTCTCTCGTGACAGAAACAAGAGGCGACTTGACTTTGCTGCTGTCTTACATACAGGACTTCCCAATCTGTGCCTCAGTACTCAGGAAAACATCTTTTCCAATTAATTCAGCCTTTTGAATCAATTAATTATATCGACGATACACCCCAGTGAGGACGCTGCACTGCAAAACTGATGTCTCCTACTCTGAATTCGGTGCATTGTGTGTCTGTTTGGAACCTAATAAAACAAATATTCATGGTGTATTGTGACTGAGCTTTTGTATGCTTGTTTTTGAGTTCCCTCTGGCAGATTGTTTCTCTTGAGTGTCTTATGACAGAGAATACGTTATAGGCCTGAGTGCAACAAATGTCTCCATAATCTTTTATTTTCCCCAGTACATTTGCATTGCTTTGGAATAGAGACCCGCGAAGATCCGGGTTAGAATAGGTCTTCAGCAATCCAATGCTTGCCGTAAATGGCGACTATGCTAGTCGTAAGAGGCGACTAACGGGATCGGGGGGTCAGGCTCGCTGCGTGGATGAATGCTTATGATGTCCATCACTGGATTGTCTGGTCCAGACTCGATTATTTACAGACCGCCGTCATATAGCTGGAATATTGCTGAGTGCGGCGTTAAACAAAAAACAACCTTGGAATAGAGAGAGTTGGAAGAGTCATTATTTCTGATATCAAACATATTTTTCAACTCTATAGAAGTGAACTTTATCGCCATAAGTAGCCTTTTTCAAATTGACTGCAGCCAGAACAGCATTTAAGCTTGGTTTGGCACAGGGCTTTTGTTCATTGGTTTGGAGAATTGACTCAGTCAACCTTCACATTTTCGCGTAAATGCATCATTCATCAATTTAGAAAATGATTTTTGAGTTTCATTTTGGCTTGCTTATAGTTTTCAGTGTTAAAATCTGTGTATGATTTCACCCAAGGGGATTGTTGAATTATAATGATTCTATTAATTTTGTTCTGTTTCAACCTCGGATGATGGGGTAGCCATAGTGGTTAAAGTGTATGCTCGTCTTGCTGAAGACCTTGGCTCGATTCCAAACATGGGTACAATGTATGAGACCCGAGACGATCCTGGTTGGAATAGGTCTTCAGCAACCCATGAAGGCGACTATGCTTGTCGTAAGAGGCGACTCACGGAATCAGGTGGTCAGGCTCGCTGACTTGGTTGATGCATGTCATCGTATCCCAATTGTGTGAATCGATGCTCATGATGTCAATCACTGGATTGTCTGGTCCAGTCTCGATTATTTACAGACCACCATCATATAGCTGGAATAATGTTGAGTGCGGCGTTAAACAACAAACAAATGTTCTTTTTTTAAAGTGTCTTATGAAAATTCCAAAACAAACAAGGTATGAAGCTCAATTCTGGTGTCCCCCGCTGTGATATTGCTGGAATATTACTAACAGTAGCATAAAATCAAACTCACTCAATCAGTTTAAACTCCTGTCTCAGATGTAGCTGTAAATATCTGTAATGGGGGACATACTTTTGTTTATCACAGAGATTCGGTTTCCATTGATACATAATTTCTGTTTCAACTTGTGGAGTCGCGGGAAGAGCATGTCCTCTGTCACTGCCTCTGATTCTGGGGCGAGAGGGTAATTGCTAATCATGCAAATAATAGGGGCACTCCAGATCTACCTTCTAGTATATACCCTTCATCTGAACTAATAGCAATGTTAATGATATTTAGTGTGAATGTTCATGATATAAAGTGTGTCGAAGTCTTGTGGACCCACCAACTGAAAATGATACTGAGTACTAGGACATGCTATGGCCACACATCTGAAAACTGCTGTTTCAGATTATCAAATATTGAAGAGCCTTCTATATTCACATTTCTGGGGACAGTGATGAAATTACTGCCTGCTAGATGTACATATTCAGCTATATTAACTTGAAAATGAACTCTAGGATCTAATAGCCACCCACTCCTCTTTGCTGAATTGC